TCACCTGCAGGTGCGGTGACACCTATATAGGTAGAACCAACAGAATGTTTCAATATCGTCGAAAAGAACATGTTCCAAAATGGCTACTAAATCATATAGAAAATCCCAACGCGATTAATCTTAATAGAAATCCAGCATCATCCATTGCAAGACACTTATTAATGTCAGGCCACAAAATCAATATAATTGACTGTTTCACAATTATTTCACATAACTCTAATTCAAGGTTATTGAAGGTGATGGAAGCACTTTGGATTAATCACATACAGCATAAACTGTATGTACAAAAATCAATAGACTTCAATCTTCGTCTACCCTGGACTACTTGACCTATCTAAATATGATTGGTCATTAGTAGGTACGTTTGTTTTTACTTAACTGAGTAATTGTCATGATCTTTATTTTATTATTGTTAACCATGTTAGTTGTAAAGCGGTTGTAAAGAAACTACGAAATGATATCATCTCGCGAAATTTGTCTTCTTGATGCCTTATTCAGATTTATCAAAGGGACTAATTGTTTTAATTCAAGCATATATCGCAATTTCATCGAATTTGGAAAGCCTTTGACAGCGTGGACCGCGAAGTAATGCGGAAACTACTTTAACAACATAGGGTAACACAAGTCTTTATCAACCCCATTCAACCACAGCTATATGACAACGCCACATGTCAGGTTATCCACGACGAAGAACTCAGCGAGGCATTTGAAGTGCATACAGGAATAAGACAAGACTGTCTACTATCACAGATGATATTTCTAACTGTGCGTTGGGAGTGAGAATACAGGAATGCGTTGGACTGACAAGAAAACTCTAGAAGGCCTGAACTTAACAGATGATATTCGTCTAATGTCAAACAATCTCGGAGACTTATAGGCGAAAACCAACAAACCAACTGAAGAATCAGGCAGCGAAGACAAGACTGCAGGGTAAACATAAAGACGGAGGTGATGCAGATAACCAACCAACAGCGACAACAACCAGTACCAGTCAGCAACAACGGGAGAGATTTAACAGAGGTTATTTCCTTCACTTATCTTGGAATCACGGTTTCAACCACAGGCAGAACGGATGACAACGTCGAAACCAGCCAGAATCAGAAAGTGTTAAGCATGACACTGCTGATTTACACCAAAAGAGTGAATAAACGACTCTTTCCATTATACTTGTGCGTCGGTGGTACAGTGGTTAGGACTCTTGCCGACCATGCACATGGTCCGGGGTTCGATCGCTTGCCGACGAACACCTGATATGTATGGTCGGCCTGCAAAATTTGGGCTACCGATATTACATGCTGAAAATTTCGTACCTGTACCTAAAATTACGGTGTGGAATCAAGCTGTAATCAAAAAAATATAATAAAATAAAATAAAAAGGAAAGGTACGCCCCCATCAACCTCAAACCAGTTTGGAAATATTTTGTATTCGGCAGCATAAAGAACAAGATTTGGATTTTCAACACAAATGTGAAGTCAGTCAGTTCTTCTATATGGGTCAGAAACTTGGTTCGCGTGTCACGAAAAGGACTTCCAACAAGATACAAACTTCTCCGGTTCCATACTGAAGATCAAATGGCCAGTCGGCCGCCCAGAAAGCGTTAGCAACACAAAACTCTGGCTGAAAACAAACCAACCAAGAGCCGATTGCTCAACAAATTTATAGGAGAAAATGGAGATAGATCAAGCACACGTTGATGAGGCTGTCGAATGACATCGTGCGCCAACCCATCGCTCAAGTGGATCCCAATGGGGAGCGTTGAGTGGGTCATCGGTAAGAGGATGATATGCAGGAGTAGATGAGAGATTGTGGGCAGTCGTGGCCCCAGCTGAAGAGGACGGCAGAAAATAGAATAAAGTGGAGATGCGTTAATGAAGCCCTACGTTCCACTCGAAACTCAAGGGAACAGTAATATTATAAGAATCTGGAATAAAGTCATCGTGCCTATATTCAAAATCGGTCTACGCGGTACGTGTAACAATTACAGGGATATCAGTTTATTACAAATTGCGTCTAAAATATTGGTCACTACCCTGCTTCGCAGGCTGTGTTTCGTCCAAACCATGAATGGATTGATCATGTGTTCATCCTCCGTCAGCTGCTAGAATACTGTCACACGTATTACAGGCCAGCAATCGTTGTGCTTGTTTATATTACGGCTGCCTTTTATTCGTTCAAGGGAACTGCTCTCTTGAACTGTCTGTTAGAGAGAGGTGTTCCTGTGAAGTTGATTTACTTCCTAAAAGCTCTATACAGAAATACCTCAAGTAGAGTGAGGCCATACAACTAGCTATCATCACTGTTCCCAACCAACAGTGGGATTAGACAGAGCTACCCAGTCTCTTCATTTCTCTTTAAGTTTGCTATCAATGACATTCTGGATTTAGCTCTGAAGGACGTGCATGTTGGCGGTTTAGATCTGCTTCCTAGAGAAAGAATTTTTGAACTCGAGTATGCAGACGATATCGTTTCACTGTGAGGTAGTAAGCAGGCTGCCCAAAGCGCACTTAATCAGTTGGAGATCGGTGTCTGTAAGTATGGTAAGTGCTTTGCGCCGTCTAAGTGCAAAGTACTATCGCAAGATTGTCAGAAACCTGTATCTGCACCCACCCCTGAAGGTGAAGTTGTCCAAAAGTTAGTATATCTAGGTAGTTGTGTGAATGCTGATGGAACTGTGAAGGAAAAGATCCCTAACCGTATACTGAAAGCTGGGAGGCATACGCCAATTTGCGACACCTCTACCAGGCTGTCAAATGTCGGGTGTGTTTCGATACAGTGGACGTCACCACTCATTGAAAGTTGCCACCTGGAAACACCGGCTTAGGTAGCTTCAACATGAGGTACGAATGTCATCATGGGGGCTCCGATGTCCGCTAACCCCTGGACTGGATAGAAAAAGCGAAGAGGTTGTCAGCCAACATCGTCATTCAATGAGATGAAGAACATTTATGTTAGGTATGTGTCAGTTGGTACATCACGACTCCCTGGTTGGGATCCGGGAGACAGTTCGAATCAGTGGCTCGAAACGTAATCAATCAGATATGGCCAAGAATCACAATCAATAGCGAAGAGATTGTCATTTCCTTCCGTTGCTTTTTTTCATTTTTTGGAGGTAACATAAAGTGACGAATGTTGATTAATCTTGACAAGTACGCTCGATTACTTTCTAGATGTTCTTTCTCATTCATTCTATCACTGCTTTCGTTATAAATTGTTGATCTATAGTTTTTGAGTGGCGCGTCTCTTAGTGCCTACAATGAACTAAGCTTATGTTTTACTAATTTAAAACATGCAGCAACTGTGGAAACAGCAGTACTTAACAAATTCATAAATTTTGCTAGGACTTGTCAGATTTATTGTAATCAATAAGCAACGTAATAAGCCTGCACAATCAGATTAAACAAGCCAGATCTATGTACACAAAAGGAGACAGTAGTTAGTTTAAATCCACCTCCTTGGTAGTATACTTTTATTTTACACTTACAATTTTCCTTACTCTTTCTATTTACAACATCCTCTCTCCATCACTATTATTATTATTAATTTATCTGACATACTGTTAATCTTCTTACGATATGTGTGCAAATCGAAAAATCATACGTGAGTAGTAATCTTCGTGAGGAGTGTTCAAATTATCCAATGAGTTAAAGTCAGAAATCTTAACTCCGATGTGCTCTACACATATTTAATTTATTTGTGTTTTTAACAAAGTTTCCTTGTATTTTATTATTATTATTACATCTAGATGTTTATAATTGTCTTTCTGTCTATTTTCGACATAGAACTTTGCACATATGTGCGGCAGTTCAAGTCGCCACACTCCCTCCTTGTAGCACACAAAGCAAGAGAAGAAAGTAGGAGAAATGCATATCAGAGACAGTAAGCAGAGGTGTGAGACAAAGGAATAGTAGTAACGAAGAACAAAACAGTTTCATTGGAAATCATGAGTCACAAGAAGTGGATGCATCTGCGCCACTGAGAATGATTTTGAGCCATGTCACCAATTGTTTCCAACCATTGGTTTTTGCCTTCCCGAGGACCACAATCAGCCACACAGTCTACATCTCCCTACGTGGCTTAAACTAACTGTTGTGGATTTCATTGACTGATGCCATGTTTTGGTTTGACCGCCGTTAGCACTTGTCCAGCCTCATCCTATATCAGCTAACATTGCCCGTCGAGGAAGGTGATGACTAGGCATACGTAACACATGTCCTAACCATCTCAGTCGATGCAATTTCACAGCTTCATCGATTGATTTCCCCTCCTTACGTAGCACTCGATGCCTAAACACAATATTGCTCACCTTATTATGCCACTTCACACGGGAGATAGAACGCAGACACCTATGATCAAAGACAGCTGGCCTTTTCATGTCTTCCACTCTCAGTGGCCAGGCCTCACAGCCATTAAGGAGGACGGAGCGGACTGATGAGCAGCGCACACGCCCTTTGGTCGATAGTCGGATATTACGTCTACGCCAGAGACGGCGTAAACTGGCATATGCGGAACTAGCTCTTTGTATCCGTGCTGAGATTTCGTTAGAGATCAACTCGTTGGGGCTGATGGTACTTCCCAAGTAAGTGAAGCGGTCAACATGCTCTACCACTTCACTTCCTATTTCTAATGTAGGAGTATTAATTAATTCCATGACAAGAACTCCAGTTTATTCATCAGTATGTAATTTGATTGATGAATAGTATTCACTTAATAATTGTCGTTAACAGATTATCTAGCACCCACCAATTATACATCATACAATTGTTCAAATTGATACTTATTTGAAGCTATCACAATGTTCACACACTTGCATGGATGTATGTTGCACCTAAAAAGGAATTGTATACAGAATAACAATGTCTGTGGAGGAGTATTATTCAATTGATGAGTCCCTCCACCGAAAATTACTCAGTCATACATACAATACTGCCTATTTTCCACAGTTGTTGCTCGTCTTAAATTTACTAAGGGATAGCAATGTTTTCATCAATTCCATAGGCTACTACACACTTACAGGGAATGGTTTATCACTTTCATAGATAACATGACCATCAATATAATGAGTTAATATACGTCTGTCATCTAAACCAATTAGTACCGGTGGAGGTGGAAATTGGAAAGGTGTTGTTGACTTTAATTTAGGACATGAAGCATTACTACTAACAGTAGAAGTAGTAGCAGTAGTAGTATTAGTCGTTGATGTTGTTGTTGCTGTATTGGTGGTCACAGTAGTTAGTAATGGTTGACGATACTGCTTTTGTCGCGGTTGTTGCATCCTTTAAATTTACTAAGTCAAGAAAAACATGTTTCCAATCTTCAGTAATTTAACAATATATTTCAAAAAAACAAACAAACAGAACAAATGTCGATAAGGTCAATAATTCAATGCGTCAATAACAACAGTGACATAATAATCATAATAACAGTAATAACATTTGTACGTCATAGTAGAAGTAGGTTGTACAAGAAAGAAACCAAACTGAAAATCATATATTCAGTATACAATGAGTTTAGCAGAGGTGCTATTTATGATTATTCCTCTCCATTCAAACAACTGACTAAAAATGTTGTCATCTTGAAAGCTACTACTAATATGAACTACTACTATTATGCTATTGTTACTGTAAATGATGTAATCATGTGTAAACACAGACACACACGCATACGCACACATATAGGGAGAGAAATACACAGATACATGCACACAACACCAACCATAGGTAATATTTCTTAATTATTATTTACAACATTCTGATAACTGATTGATTGTTGGGGCTTGTTTATTTGAAATGGATTAAATGCTCAGTGTTTTGAGATTTCATGCATAATAAACATGAAGCATAAACTTAACGAGAGAAATAAAAAAATTGCATATGAAATTAATGACGATGGTGGTAATAATAATAATAAAAGCAACAATAATAACAGTAATAATAAAAGTGAAAATAATAATAATAACAATAGTCGTCGTAGTAATAGTAGTAATGAACACAAAGTAACTGGTATCACCGGAAAACAAAACAAATGAAAAAGTTGAGATCTTTATGATTACAAGTAAATACTCTGACAAGTAGAAACAATAAACAATATGCATATATGCATATGAACATATGATAAGTTAATCTGTATTTATATATATATATGCTACTGATAATGTAATAAGTAATGACTGTCATTATCATCATAAACATCATGATTATATCAACAACAATGTCTTAATGATTCTAGTCTTGCAACCAGCTTCAATGCTGGTCCAATTTTCATACCGATCGGTGGTTGAATAAATTGATCCTCGGCTAGTAATAATAATGCTTCACCGTCTATTTCATTGTTTAAAAATGCTGATGCATATGCACTGCATCCGGGAGTACCACGGACAAAGGCAACAACATCATCTGGTGTCCATTTATATACTGGACCTTTAGGCGGTGGAGTAGGCGTCAACAGACTAGATGTTGGCTGTTGTGAGCTACTGAACATTGTTGTCTGAGAGCGTTGTTGGTGTTGTTGATGCTGTTGATGTTGTTGCGGTGGTGGTGATACGGACTGATTAAATAAATTGCCTGTTGAGCCCGCTGTAGTCTGATGTATGAAATTTTTCAAAAAAAAAAAGAGTAGCATTAAAAAGTGTCTAACTAACACTTAATAAACTCAATATGATCTTGTGTTAATGCACTATTGAGGCATAATTAATTTCTAGCTGAGCAATGGATGAGGGGCAGTAGTTAACTTAACTTTACCTTTTGTATTCATAACAAGTTTAGTCATTTGAGAATTCCCATTTCCACATTTATAAAAACGATAAATTGAGCGGAGAAATATATTCCTTTTCAATTAGGTCCTCGTCATCGGCTTTACACCAATATATATATATATTTTACATCGAAATTTTACCAAATCATGTGGTTATTTTAATCCATAAGAATTGCCAGTTTTAGGTAGACGGAGGTCGTGCGGAATCAGTTAGAGTGAGCGTACAATCAAACAAGGCTATCGTCGAATTTCTGAACACCTCTCATCTTGATTTGACAAAGGTCGGAATAAAGCTATACACGCAGCTCGATACTAACTCATTTCGTCGATACTGGGCATCAAGTTGACTCTAAAAAAGCTTTTTCAGTTATTTGTCACATTTCACCCAGCTTCTCGCAAGCTCTACGAGCATGACTTTTACGAATAGAGAGGAAGCAGTCGAAATTCATCTGAATAAACCGAAATTTTGTGTTCGATAGAAATTTGTGCAGCCGCTTACCTTGCCTTAACCAACTGCATAATATGTATCAAGTTTTACATACGATTTTCCTCCCCATTTGCAACTATTTTTGGACTTTTTCATTTTATGGTGACTACAATTCTAGTTAATTCAATTATATCATTTGTGCCTAAAGTAATTCTGCCTACTCACTGCATTCGCCTTTTTACAAATTCCTTCATTACGTAATAACTTGTTGCTAACCGCCACAAATTAACTAATGTTGAATTCCGTGAATATCTTTACCCCTCCGCCCTTCAAAAATAGGATATCTTGCTGCTAACATCTACTAGTTAATTGTCTTGATGATTTTTAACCTCTTATTTTCAACTCCACCCACCCCCACTATACCTAAAATTGATAATTCTTTTAGATTACAATAACCAAATGAGTGGAATAATTTCGACGTAAAAAACAATATATTAGTGTAGAACTGATGATGAAGAACTAATTGGAAAGGAGTATACTTCTTCACTTAATCTGTTGTTTTCCTAGATGCGTAATCAATTTAGTTAGATTTCTTTCTTGAAAATACGCTGAAGCGATATTCAACTGAGATAATCACACACACACACACACCAGGCAACCCAATGGGGAAGCAATGAGTTGGGCGTACCACGCTGACACATGAACAGGATCGTGTGAAGAGCAAATGGAGAGTAGTATGAGTAGTCATGCAACCAGTTGACAGTGGTTGTCAATCGGTAGTATCTGCTATCACGCTACCTAGACATTCAAGGTTTATACTGTTTGTGCACAGCTCTACAGGTACCACAGGTTGAAGAAAACTGAATAAAAGATTCCCCCGAGACATCAATTGTATGGGCTTCGACCAATGAGTTAGTCATTTCGGGGTTTTAAACATATATTCATACAAAGTTGATGAATTAATCGACAAGGTTTTGAGACAGTAAGGATAGGCCTAGTTAGGGTATATACGTTACCCAAGTAACTTATCACATATTAAACAAAAAGGAAATGCTAATTTGATTGTTTTGTCAAGTCAGTGATTTTCCCCCGAAGGTGTCTTTGTGACAAACGTACACTTCTTAGCTGACGCTCTGGGGATATTAGAAGAACAATGGAAGGCTTGTATAACAGGGCGCACAAGTAGGTATATATTACGTGTGGTTGATATGTCCAAAAAACTGGTCCAAACATGTGTTTCAGATCATCTTTGCGAGCGAACCAGGTTATCGATAATTTGACCGTCAACAATGGAATTACGAAACTCCAGGGTATGCGGTAATGTCCCCTACCAAATTGCTCACCACTGTCTCCTTACTATTGTTTGCATATGATGTGAAAACCAAGTTAGCAATTCTAGAATTTGTCGGATGGGTTCGAACAAGCTAGTAATTATTTTTCATCAGGTGGTGTTGTCTTTTGAATGGCTCCTAATCTACCTCCTGTTCGTTAGTCTTACAATCCGGTTAGATGGAAGATCTATGAAATGGGTCGGTTACATAAGAAAGAAAGTTCTTTGATGGACTTTCATTTGTTAGTGCACCGCGAAACTTCAGAGTGAAGTCTGAAGCCACATTTAACTGAATAGTCCAAAATGTCACCTGATATGATTCAAAGTTTAAAAAAAAAAGGGAACACGCTGGAATCCTCTTGTCGGGAGCGAGACTGTGATGAATGCTCTCTATGATATAATTAGTAAGAATATTAAACCAAACATCTTTAGTTGCTAATCGTTTTCCTCTCTGTATCATTTATGTGGATTTCCTAAGAAACCGTGGCGTCGGTGGCACAGTGGTTAGGACTCTTGCCGACCATACACATGGTCCGGGGTTCGATCCCTTGCCGACGAACATCCGATATCTGTGATCGGCCTGCAAAATTTGGGCTACCGATATCCATGCTGAAAATTCTATACTTGTACTGAAAATACTGTGTGGAATCAAGCTTTAATCAAAATTTTAAAAAATTACATTCGTGTGTTTATGTGTGAGAGGGGGAGTAGTAAACAGCAAACAGTAGTGAGAAAGTAACAAATTTTTCAAATAGGAAAACAATCGTCAAATACGAATAGATTAATTTATAATTTCAACCTACCCCAGTACTACTGGATTGGATTTCATTCAATGGTTTACTCAACGGTTGCATTAAAGATTCATGACATTGGTGCTGTTGACCAATAACTGAAGAGTATTCTGAAGGATTTCCTGTCACATGATTTGTTTTACAATCAACACTTTGATCATTTCCTCGTAGATTTGAAGATTGACGATCAGGAATTGAAACAACAGGTAGCTGAGAGTAGACAACATTGGCTGAATGACGACTAGCTAAGGACAGTATTGTTGAATGAGGACAAGAGGCTAAAATTCCTTTTGATGACCGATAAATATTAGCGGATGCTGACAATAGATATATAGAATAACAATATAACGGTTAAAAACTATGAGCATATCTACAAAACAAAATGATCTAGCATTATATTGTTGCAGTATTTATTGTTTCCAAAATATCAAGATGAGATTAATGAAAAGGTGAATAACCTCATGCATATTATATTTTAAGTTTGGAACGATTATGATCTTATTGTTACAAGAGAGATACACATATTACAGGTTAAAGTACTTTGCGGTAGTATGTTCACGTATCCACAAACTGATTGTACACTGTTATTGTTGTTATTATTATTTGCTATTGTTCCCTTGGGTTCCGAGGGGAACATACGGCTTCAAAAGCACATCTCCATTTCGTCCTGTTCTCTCCAGTCGCCTTTAGATGACTCCACGATTGCCCATAGTCTCTCATCTCCTGCTCACACGATCTCCTCCATGTTGCCCCCTCCGACACACGCCCAACTTGCTTTGTAGTTGGGTTTCACTTGAGCTATGGCCTTTCAGGTGATGTTACCTAACGGTCTCCTCAGTGTGTGTCTGATTCATCTCCATTTTCTTCGACATATCTTTTGAGTTTCTTGTGGGCAATTTTTTGTGGTTGGCCTGGTCATCTCATCTTCAGTATCGAGGCACCAAAGGCAGTGGTTGATAAAAGTCTGAATCCGGCTGTTGGAAATGCTTTTCGTGACACGCTCGCTGGTCAAGTTTCTGACTCATACTGAAGAACTGACTGGCTTAACATTAGTGTTGGAAATCCGAGTTCTATTATTTATGCAGAGACGGAGTGCAGTAGATTTCCAAACTGATTTCACAGTGAGATGAAAGTCTGTCTTGCCTTTTCGACTCTTCCTTTAACATCGTCATCCGTACTGACTGCCTGTAGTTGAAAGGATGCTACCTAGATAAGTGAAGGAAGTGACCACCTTCAAATTCCTCCCATCGATAGTGATCGATGCCTGGCTGGTTGTCTTCATCACCTCTATATTCTCTATATTCACTTGAATTCTTGCCTTTTGTCGCCTGCCTCTTCTGCCAACTTATTGATTTTCGCCTGTAAGCCTTCGAGTTTGTGTGGATGTAGTTTTGAAGTGTAACAAAATCAACCAATATATCCTTTTGAAGACCTTCACGTTAACCTTTCTAAGTAGTTTCTACAGCTCATTACATAACACTGGCAAAGGTTGACGAAATATAAATGAAATGACACTTAACAACCAATTGAAATTCCATATAGCTGACAATGAGCCACACCCCTCGTGTGAGAAGCTATTGATACTACCTTGCTGTCCAAATCTCACTATGTGGAGAGTAGTTCGAACCCGTGACCCACTGAAGGAAGTCGAATGCCTACTAGAGACCGACCAGTAACCCACAGCTTCACACTGACAACCGCATATAGATCCAGAGTAAACTACCAAGTACCTAAATGCTGGCTAAGAACAATGTAGTGTTGTGTACTATTACAAGACTGGTTGAGATAAAAGAACACGAAGAGAAGACTCCAACTCAAGGCTATTTCAGAAGAAATAAGTATTGAAATTGAAGATATGCCTTAATAAGAATCAGTCACCTATTGTGAGTTTGAATCTCAGTGAACACTCTTCAGCGAATGGTGACTGTGTGTGGTATCATCAGTCCCTTAATATAATAAATATGAAGCTCATCACTGTGTACAAAGGACTAGTGAAATTATTCGATGAAACTATTATTATTATTATTATTATTAAAACATGAATCAGTAAAGAGATCTCTTCTCGTAACTTCACTTTAAAGGTGTACAAGTGATAACCATACTGATAAGTGTTGATGGGCACATCTAGATAATGTCCTACTGGCACGGCCTATGTTACTTAGCTCCACAGTAGCAAGTGAATTGTTATATGCACATTAGAGTTGCCAACAGAGGGAACTTGTCTATGACTTTTTGGTGGAAAAAAGCGCTTGTAGAGAAGGTGAGGCGTAGTGATGCAGCAAAGAGAGTTCTTCGAATTGCTCTCGACAGACGACTTCAGAGAACCACAGATTTACAATTAGATTTGACGAATTGTTTCTTCGGCATACACAGGTTTCGAGGAGAGTTGGTCTTTACCTTTAGATGTTTATCGGTGAAGGATGTTGGGTATCTATTTTTGATGAGAGTTTTTCTAAAGGATTCCAATTCCTTATTCAGTGCATATACGGCAGATTCTCGTCGCAAGAGAAAACGTGAGATTTCCTTTTTCTGCTTATTGGGACAAAAATGTGATTGTTTGTCAGCTGTCCATTCCATTTCAGCTTTTGGTAGATATTTACCTTCGTAGGCTTTCATCCGATCGTCTTGTAAGTTGAACATCCAAGAAGAATAATTTACCTTCTTGTTCCACTTCAATTTTGAATTCGACTATTCGATGAGTGTTGTTGAAGATTTCTAGGATTTCGTTAAGGTTTATATTTTCATCAGTGATGATAAAGATATCAATCAAATACCACTTGTAAACTTCAAGGTGTTTGATTGTTGGTAGAAGGATATTTGATTCAAGGTACGCCATGTATGAAGGAGTCGGCGAACAATGGACCAAGTGGGAAACCTATTGTTACTCCATTTTCTGAAGATATATTTGACCATTGAATTGAATATTCAACATTGTGTGTGAATCACAGGATTAGTTCTTTGATATGCTTTAATGGGTATACCGACACTCAGATTATTTGAATCGATAAACTCTTATATACATAGATGGGTCCCCATTATTCGTCGGGGATGCAGGTGCATCCAACGCAAACAAGATGAAGCGTACATCCTCGATCCTACTGCCAACTACCACCACTATCACGTTTAACTTATACTGTACAACTGATTGGTGTATATTTATACGAAAACATGACAAACTTACAATCATTTTCATCATGAACATCACTGGATAACTCAGATGACAGTTGACGTTGTGTTTCATAATTTGACAGTATCGTCGAGTGATTAGTTTGTCCTTCTAAATTCACAATTTTATTGCCAACAGTGGATGCACATGATACTTTTACTGGGTTCATCCAGTCACCAATAGTTTTAGAAGTAGCAGAAGTGACCAATGTTGTGTCAGATTTAAATGCATCTTTTGCTTTAACTAGATTATTATTATTATTATTTGATAACACAGGAGAACACGGTGTAATGGATTTGATATTTGTCATATTCTCGTCATTTTCATCACCATAGCCGTTTACCAAGATGGTTTTAGGCGGTGTTGTTGTGCCACCTGAAAACTGTTTCAAAAGAGCTTCTTCAACTACTACCATACCATTTTTCACCTAATAAAGCAAAAACAAAAGAGATTCAAAACAAAAAAAACGACATAACAAAAGTTAAAGATGCTTAACACTGAAATATTCAGTTGAGAATTGAAAATGAAAAAATGAACACATGATTGTTGAAGGGCAATTAATGGAGAATTCAGCCAAGTCACCAAAAGTCTCTCTCTGTTCATTGATTCTTAGTGTCATGAATATTACAACCAGGGAGTCAGGTAGCCGTTTTTCCAATCGGCAGGTAATTTCCGTTCCTTTACACCTTTTGCAGTAGTAGTGGGGTAAGCATATCGGTTGAAGTTTCAGTGCTCCTAAGTGGAATCCTATTCGATCTTAATGCTCTCCCTGCTTTTACTAGCCTTATGACCAATGCGTTCGCTTTTGTCGGGGGTTTTGTGTTAACTGGTAGCTCAATAATGTCTGTTAGAGATGTTTCTGAACGAGTTGCACATGATGGTCCTTTCCTCCACTACCTTTGGTCACTGGCTCTATATGTGCTGATCTCTTCATGGGCAGCCGTTTGGTTATTTGATAATGTTGTAAGGTCTCTCTTATCTGTAGCCCAACCTAATTCGGTTGCCACTGTATCCTAAAAGCATCTTTTGGCTATCCCAGCACGTTTCCTCACTTCTTTGTTCACTGCTACGTGGTTCATACTCAACTTCTCTTTTTCATCTCTGCTCTGCTTCAGCTTCTCTCTATCCTCCATCGGCTCCCTGACGTCAGTAGACAGCTATCTCTTGTCTTATCTCTTTTCATGCGTCTTTCCGAGAGTCCTAGTGTTTCCTTCAGTAGTGTCACCTGACACCACCTTTCCTTTCTTTCGGACTTTGGAACGGCTAGTATAACCCAGATGGCGTTCTACCGACCTATACGTAAAAATGATTTAGAAAAATCGTGGCAACAAATGTAGCCCTTGCTCGCACAAATCCAACCGATAATGAGATAAGTAAATCCGTCGTTTTCTTTGTAAAACTGATGCAGTGAATAATCAGAAGTTCAGACCAATTTGCTGAACGGAACGTTTAAGATACTTATTTCAAAATGGATCAGATTTATAAAACATACATAACATTACCTTCAGTTCAATTTTCGCGGAATCGATTAGGTCATACACAACGTGACAACACATTTTTTTCAAAGAAATCTCTAGAGCATAATGTTCTTCTAGGTTAATAATGCAGTTTTCGGTTAAGTCATCCAGATGCATACTGCACACGCACAGATACAAACATACATATAAATATAGCAAGGAGACAGTATATTCTACGCAAACTCTCAATTAACCTAATAATTAGCAAAAACCAGAATTTAATATTTTAAAACAAGCAACAACTATGCATAAATTCCGGTGTGGGGACACTTCAGCTGAATACTCCACTACAAACATTGTTATTATCTATAAAAATGTTTTAGGGTTTCAACAAATATATGATGTATAATTGGTGAGTGCTAGATAATCTGTTAACGACGATTATTAAGTGATTACTATTCATCAATCAAAGTACATGCTGATGAATAAACTGGAGTTCTTGTCATGGAATCAATACAATTATAAACACCTATCTATATATGATCATAGTAATAATAATATTGAAATACAAGGAACCCTTGTGTTACTAATTCATTCCCTATTATGTATATATAACTGTAGAACCTGATGAAGAGCAGGTTATCGAAAAGGATATTCTTTGTTCAGTAACCATTCTTCGAGAAAAACACAAATATAATTAACATATGCAAAAGATATAAAGGAAAATCAATTACAAAGACAGTTTTCAAAAAGAAGATTTATATAAAGTTACCTTTCAGGGGGGGACAATGTTACCTAATGGGTGAAATGTCGTTAAGAGAAGAAAGCAATTAAATCAACCTATTATGCAGCTGATATGTTGCTCAAAAGCACAACAAAGGCGATATAGTGCAAGCAACAGCAACCACAAGACATCGAACCTCGCCAAATCAAAATGTATATGTCAATTTACATGTGTGCGGAAAGATTTCTTTCGGCCCCCGTTGCCAAACACTGCCCAAATGGCATTCTAGTATTTGTGACGGCACGATCACACAACATTTAATGGACTGTGATCATACGGTAATGTTGAGTAAGAGCTTTATAGTTATCAATAAGCAACGTAATAAGCCTGCACAATCAGATTAAACAAGCCGGATTTATGCACACAAAAGGAGACAGTAGTTAGTTTAAATCCACCTCCTTGGTAGTATACTTTTATCTTACACTTACAATTTTCCTTACCCTTTCTGTTTACAACATCCTCTCTCCATTACTATTATTATTATTAATTTATCTGACATACTGTTAATCTTCTTACGATATGTGTGCAAATCGAAAAATCATACGTGAGTAGTAATCTTCGGGAGGAGTGTTCAAATTATCCAATGAGTTAAAGTCAGAAATCTTAACTCCGATGTGCTCTACACATATTTAATTTATTTGTGTTTCTAACAAAATTTCCTTGTATTTCAATATTATTATTATCACTATAATCATCACATCTAGATGTTTATAATTGTATTAATTCCATGTCTGTCTGGATTCAACATAGAACTTGGCACCGAAGTGCACCAGTTCGAGTTGCCACGTTCCAAAGAGCACACAAACGTAGACAAGAAAATGAGTGAAGAGAATCAATAGAGTTTTGACAAGTATAAGAGTGAAACACAATGAGTAATGGTAGAAAGGAATATGAAAGATTACAGAGACTGAATACATCTGCGTAAGCCATTGACAACGATTTTGAACCATGTCACCTATTGTCTCCAGCCATTGATTCTTAGAGTCCCGAGGGCCCCAATCTAGAAGTCTGCATCTCCCTACCTGACTCAGTTTAACTGTCAAGGATTTCATGGATTGATGAGGCCATGTTTTTGTTTGGCCACCACTTACTCTTTTCCAACCTGCACCTACATCAGGTAGTAATGCTCGTCCGTCGGGGGAGACGATGGCTAGGCATGCGCAAGAACTCCATACAAATCAGTTTATTCATCAGTATGTACTTTGATTGATAATAATAGTATTCACTTAATAATCGTCGTTAACAGATTATCTAGCACCCACCAATTATACATCATATGCTTGTTCAAGTTAATACTTATTTGAAGCTATCACAATGTTCACACACCTGCATGGATGTATGTTAACCTTAAAATAATTGTATACAGAATCACAATGTCTGTAGAGGAGTATTATTCAACTGAAGAGTCCCCCCACCGAAAATTACTCAGTCATACATACAATACTGCCTTTTTTCCACAGTTGTTACTCGTCTTAAATTTACTAAGGGATAGCAATGTTTTCATCAATTCCATAGGCTACTACACACTTACAGGGAATGGTTTATCACTTTCATAGATAACATGACCATCAATATAATGAGTTAATATACGTCTGTCATCTAAACCAATTAATACAGGTGGAGGTGGAAATTGGAAAGGTGTTGTTGACTTTAATTTAGGACATGAAGCACTACTACTGACAGTAGAAGTAGTAGTAGTAGTATTAGTCGTTGATGTTGTTGTTGCTGTACTGGTGGTCATAGTAGTAATAATTGTACTTGATAATTGAACTGATGTTTGTTTTACACTGAAAAATGATTCAACAGATTTTGTATCTACTACCTGCTGATAACCATGCTGGCCGGGAGTAACTGTTTTACATTTCTCGCTTTCTTCGTCGTTTTCCTCATCATCAACATTATCATCCTGTTTTTCTGCTGTTAACACTTTCATATTTTCATCGTGTATAAAATCATCGTTTTTACATGGAAATTTATGGTTAGGGGAATAAGACAGTGAAGTTGAAGATGGTAACCTGTTGTCATTATTGCCTTGACGGTTAGCAGCATTTGAAGAACTCTGGGAATCTGTGGTTTGTGATGATGTTAACTTCGGCAGCATGGTAGTATTATTTCGACTGTTACTGTTAGCTGTTGATACACAGTGATCTGTTGCCGACATTACTGGTGTTGTTCTGCAAGTGTTAACAAACGATGCACATGATGAGGATGAGGACAGTGATGATGATGGGGAGGATGAATAAGAAGTTTTCATTGTGATATCCAACTCCATGGAATCATTTTCTTGTCTGAATGAAAAACAAACAACAACAACAACGGATAACAAATGAAATACAATATATGCAAAGGAGAAAAACGATGCCCCGCAGATTAATCTTAGAACATCTGATAGATTCCGGAAGTCAAGCTACACCTCAAATAAACTTCAAAGTCATCTACAGAATACAAAGCAGTCTTCCTAAAAGTGTACGATTCAAACTTCTCTAACTGTTGAAGCAATGAAAATTCACTTACTAAGTCCCGAACTCTGCATACAGAAGAAGTTCGTTCAATCAGTACACTTACAATGAAGGCAATATATCTTAATATCTCTTCATTAGTATTATTTCTTTCTTTTCAACTGTAATATTTCACATTTCCTACTTCCCTGTTCTCTACTCCCACCCGATTTAATTTCTACACCTCATTATCACTGTTAATGACTTGACCAACGCTCAATTTCTAGTCATTTATGTTACGTCATCCAATTTATTTGCTTAGTATATCATATATATACTAATGATATATGTATGTATACGTGACATTGAATGCTAAGATGACACGGTTGATAAATTTACACACAGAGTCCACTTTTAGTCATAACGCCATCACCAGCTTACATACTAATTGAAGCCCAGAAACAGATTTCCCATTTCCCAGGCTACACGTTACAATTATTGAATGATGGCTGATGATACTGTTTAGTTGTAGGTGGAACGGGATTCAAAAACAGCACACATTAACTGTATGCCAAATGCTTGGATCCCAATAAGCGACACACATATACACCAGAGTGTATCTAGTATTATGTACGATGCATAACTATTCGTCGTTACTCTACACAATAAAAATTATAATCTCTTAAATCTAAGACTAATCATCGGGTATTCTTTGCTAGACTCCTACCCAAATAAGTGGAATTATCGGCAGCACGCTTAACTACTTCACAACCTATCCTTAAACTAAGGACCAATGCAGACCAACCTTCAAGGGATCATTTCACATATTGACAGGGTTGAATCACATGCCAAATAAATTAGGATTTCGGTTCATAGCTTTAATACGGAAGATTGCATTTTGTCAACATCTCCACCTAGAAAGACTATATCATATATATAATTGGTTAATACGTTCATATTAGGTTGAACAAAGTCTACCCAGTGATCAAGTTTTCTATTGTGCGCATACTAAATTCACACTACGTATACTGCACTATAAGAGATGAGAGATTATGAGCAATCGTGGACCCAGTTGAAGAGGATGGCAGAAAATTGAACAAAGTGGAAATGTATAGCTGAAGCCCTACGTTTCACTTGGAACCCAAGGGAATAATAATAATAATAAATACTGCATTATAGTTCAGTGATCATAGTTACTCAGTATTACAATTGTATTACAATTGATAGTGTGACTATGGCTATTTTCATAATATCAGCTTTGCACAATTGAAAGCAAAGCCTATGATAAATTCAGTGGAAAAAACAGGTATTAAAATAATTAATATCAAAACATACATACATTTCAGTAAATGAATCTCCCAACGACTTGTGATCATATTCTCCTCTTTCAGTGGACAGTCTTTTGAATGGTCGTGTATCTTCAACAAATTCTTGTAAAGGTTTCTTGTTAAAAGTAACAACATCAGAATTGCTAGCAGTAGATAACTGTGGATAAGCACACTGTGTACATGAAAAAATGAAGAGAAATGAAAATAAAAATAAACACTGCTGTCCAACCTGGTATGGTTCAAATTCGGTAAATAATGCCACCTTCAACCAGAACAGAAGTTTGTCTGGTTCTCTTGCCAGTTCATTTCTTTAGGAGCCCCATTTGTTTTCCTTATGACTATGGAATCTATCATCTTAGGTACTACAATGTTGGTCAACCTGATCTCCTCTAGTGAATATTACAGGAAGGTTATTCCTCTTTTTTAAATAGTGGAATAATGAAGGATCTAAACCAATCTGCTGATAATATCTTGGATTTTTATGCACTGACTAGTGTCATAATTATTCTACTCAATAATATACCATCAGCATCCTCTGAAGTCAGTGCATAAGGTTCTTCTGCTTTGCCGCGTTATGGAACCTGGGGGATAGCTGCCTAAGGCCGGTTAAGTAAGGCTTACTAGAAGATTGTGGAATTTTCGAAGTCTCGTCAATAGAGAAAACCTTACCATTGCAGGATAAGTCAAGATATACTTGCAGTATACGCAGCTTGATAGTCTGCCGAAGGACATTCCTAGCAGCTGCTACATTATATCCGCTGGCAGTAAGACTTCGCCAACATAACGTAATATATATATGCAACTAACACCATGACGGAGACTGTTGGTAACTAGACGGATATCGATACGACCTATGCAGCATGACACGTCCTTGAGGAGCATTCCACAACAGTTAGCAAAAATTGGCGGTTCATCGAAATATACAAGTCTAAGTGCAGAGTCTACGGAGCACTTATCGATCGGTAACTTTATTCACTATTAACAATTTCGACCTCTAGTAAAGCCTAATCGATATTATAGGTTAGCAGCGTCATTACTATTAATAGATACCCGTATTGATATCAGATCTTAATGAGAAAACTAGTACGCTATTACTCTAGGATTTTCAAAATTCAATCTATCATCACAACGATATTCCCAATCATTTTATCACTCTTTAGGAAATCTTTCTCTCATAATGACGCTCAGAAATTCGGTTTAGGTTATGTCAGAAAGTTTACGTAGAGAATTAGAGAAATCTCCTTTAGAATAGGCGAAACTTGTAGTATTTTACTTGGACCTCTGTTGATCACTGGGATGTATTATTATTATTCACGCTGATAATGCCTTCGCACTGAAAAATTAATGATGTAACGGTAAATGATGATCGACAGTGAGATATCAATTTTGACCACTGAGTACCAGTCATATAGAAGTGGAAACATGACGAGGAAAAAATAGGAAACAAATTTACCAACCACTGTACTGTACAGTGAATCCAATTTAATGACAATAATCTGCTTTATTCTAATCAAAACACCGCTTATGGTACAGCATGGAATTTTCAGCATTTGTCACTATGCAGCAGATGAGAGAAATGATTCACTCCAGGACAGATTTCTCACGTACCAGACTGAAGCACACGGATTGTATGGAGGCTGATAATAACCACCCAGGTACCCTACTTACTTCACTTTACTTTACTTCGGTTATCTCCTACGGGAGGATGAGCCGGCTTCATGCACATCTCGAATCAACGCCGTAGCATGGTGAGAGTCGTTTGTAAGAGAGTTCATGAAGTTTCATGGCAATTTGGTACGAGTGATGTCCCCAGAATCGCTCGGTCTTTTGTTGGAGAGTGCAGTTCTAACCTTTACACAACCAAGTGTGACCTACAAGGCAGTAGAAGTGGAGTAGGGAGTCCACTATCCATTGGCAGCCGGTGACCAGAGTTCGGTTCATACGCCTTTTTGAATGGGGCCAGACATCCAGGACATACAACAAGCCCTTTGTCCATACGTCTGCCGGTGAGCTCCAGTGAGCTTCATACGCCAGTCATTGGAGGTTTGGAATCAGAGTTTAGCCATCTACCCTAGACTGTCATCCAATGGACAGTCAACCCGGTGAAGAGCGCCGGGCATCCGCTTTCGCCCTCTCACTTTGGTGAAAAACACCTCCGCCACGTGAAGGCAGTGAGTAGGACTTCCTCAGGAGAGGCTAAGTAAGATGCCCGGTCATATGGGAGCATTTCAAGAGGTGTGCAGAGGGCTGGCCAACCCGCAGCGCAAGGCACCCACCCCCGACCATCCTGACCATCCCAGGCCGAAGCATACGGAATGGGACTCAAACCTGAAACGTCACTGGTTGAAAGCCCAGTGGTTTTGGCAATCAGTCATATTTCTGTAAATTGAAAAGAGTGGTACGACTCGAATCAGTTAGTTTTAGTTTACAGACCTATGACTCTATGCACTTCAACTGGATTGTAAAAGTGAGACATTTAAGGTCATACTTTTCATCTTTTGCGAACTAACAATCAACATCCGTGGACTAGGAACAAGTTTCAGTCTGTCAACCACAGATTTCGACTATCTATGTATACAGTACACTTCACAATGGTATAAAATCACTTACTAGACGACGTTTTGAGTGCAACTATTATGAAATGGTATTGTAATTATGAAGTTGTGCCTAAGGTAATCTTTATTAAACAA